CCTGATAATCTGGTAAAAATTCACTAATCTCATTACTTGACCCATTTGATAGACACATTCCTTTAGAAGCACAAAACGTGTGATTGTGTAACTGAGTAAATTCATGAATAAAGTAAACATGGAGGAAAATTTTATTTCTGTTGCATCAGAGAAACAGGTGGCGATAGCTGTACTTCGACCACGTCGGGCAAACCAAATTGCTTCCATTGCTCTCTGCTTGAAAACGTCAGAGAGCCTCACAACCTGCAGCACCTTCAGAGGTTTTTGTTTTTACCGAACAGCTGGTTCTGGTTCTTCACTCCCACACTTCCACTGATGAACACATGAACTTTATAATCAGCTCTTACAAAGACCAGCGCCCAACGTATTCCTCAGAGGGAGACTGTTTAATTTCATGTAGTTTCATTTATTTCACTGTGTTTGGTTGCATTCTGGGTCAAACGTGATTGACTATTTTCCTGTCTGTGCCTTTGTGTATAAATGATTGTGTATTTGTTACTTTGTGAAGAAAACATTTTGTGCATGGAAAACTACTTGAACAGGGACGGGGATGATACATAAGGATCTTCCTTTTTTTTTCCTTTTTAATGTTCTTGGCTCCTCAGCACAAAGTGTGTTCTCTGAAAACTTAAATGCAACATGTAAACCAGGGGTTTTCTGGTTGTCTCTCTGAATCGTTAGAGGCTGTCGATCTAAAAACGTACAAAGGCTTTACCGTGTTTTCAACACTGCTCAGAAAGCCCAAGATAATAGGTGAGAACTTAAAACACCTGGTGGAAGGTTTGTTCGAGATCATGGTAGTGTTACAGCAAATGATTTGAGATATTTTCAAAATATTATTATTTGGATGAAACTTGGTGGAAGGATGGTACATGGAAAAGAAGTCATTGAATTGAGGCTCTGGACAATGATGCAGATTCAGGAATTTCTTCTTTTTTTCACTTTATTGTGCATTCGTGAACATTTTCACCAATTTCCCAGGAAGTAATTCTTGATGAAATTAATCCGGCATCTTAAGGAGACTGAAATTTGGTCCGAATAAACATCTGTGTCAGAGTTTCATGTGGTTTGTCTTGAGTTACCCTGAATATTTGAACTGAACACCTTCGTCGTGTGTGCCGACAGGTCAAGAAATACTTTGAGCTGGAGCCGCTGGCCCGAGGGAAGCGCTGGATCCTGGACGGCAGCTCCACCGACAACATGGAGGCGGTGAAAGAGAGCTTCGGTCAGTTCATTAGCCTGCTGGAGGACAAAGACACTGAGCCTGCAAGGATATGATGCTAACGCTGCTAATGCAGAGACATTAGTGGCTAACGGCTAACAAACGCCACATCCTGCTGGTGCCCACGGTCACACACTCACGCACAGACACAAACATGTACACAGGAAAATACAGTGGATGTGGGCCACTCTATCGGAGATGTATATTGTATGTTACCCTCCCTTCACTGCGGTCTCACGATTTCAAATGGGAAGAGTGTGCGACACAACCTGAGAGGAGAGCTGCCATTAAATCCAAATCATCGAACTTTCCAGGAATGGAAATATTGTTTACTACTGTCTGTGCCATTGTGATTAATTGGCATCTGGGACCTTTGTCATTCCTTGTAGTCAGTATCATTGAACACTAACACACACACGCACACACACAAACACACACACACTGTCACACACGTAGCGGAGGCCAGGTTGTCTGTAGATATTTTAATTAAAATCTCCACTAATTACTTTCCAGAATGTGTGTGGACACAGTTGGTTTTCTTTCCTGTGAGAAGTGCTGTGTGAGCTCAGGTGTGCTTCTCCCTCGGACTCAGTAAAACGAATGTCGTGGTGTGATCGGGGTGCGTAGTTCAGAGCCTTGTGTTATGTACAGTAGTTACATATCAATGTGTCACACCATATCTGCGTATCTAATCTGAATAGTGTAGTCTGAGTATCTGATGGAGTATTATATACATGCAACGAGTAACTGCTGTGTACCCTCCTGTGCCGCCAAACACAACTACTACTTATCATGTGACTAAGTGCTCGGTGAGTCTATTTAGAGGAAGTGAAACAAGTCTGAATGCTTTTTATAAATGTGCAGCGTAGGATATGTTTTATAGCTCTGTATGTTAACCTGGTAGAGCTGCATTCAGATGTTTTATATATCACACACTTATGAATTCTTTACAATCAAAGACCAAAATGAAATAGAAGCAGCAGCAGCAATGATTCACCGGGCTGAGAAACGTGATGGATTTTGATTCAGTGTTTAGCAAATTTCATGTTCGTTTTTCTACATTTTCACTTTATTTTTATTTTTTTTCCTTCTGAATTCTACATGATCCCTCTCAACACTGACTCCAGTCCCCCGTCAGGGTGGAATACAAACTCTATCAATCAGCCACAGCAACAGCTGCATCTGACAAGTCCCTGTCCGACACCCTAATGCCTTCCAACTGTCTGTGAAGACCCCTCCCTGTCTGCTGTTTATCGTGGACCCCCACCCCACCTCATCCCCAGCCTGCTCCAACCAACACTCTCCCTCCCGCGCTCTGTTACTGCTCGGTGGGGTATTTATCCCAGATGCCGTCTTTCAGGCCGGTCGCCCTCGTGTGGTCTCCAAACATCTAAAATGGGTTTTATTCATGGAGCCACAGGTGTGTGGCTGTTCCCAGGATGTTCCCTCCTCCTCCTCCCTGCATTCATTTCAGTTTTTCTTGTTTTCTTCAGTGTTTCGTCAGGTTTTGAGATTTAATATTTTTTTGTACCTGACCAGAGATCTGCCAGGATTACATTTTTTTTTTTACATAACAAATGAAATTGGTGCATTCTTTTGATCGAATGCTAATGTTAGACGTTGCATATCATCCTCTGACAAACACACAGGTTTTAAACATTCACTGCAGTCTTTTATGGGGGGGGGGAGCTGTATTTGTGTTTGATTTTGTTTTTTCAATCATCAGTTTTGTCTAAAATGACAATTAAAGTTTTAAAAACTAAAGTATTGTCTCAGTTGTTATTCACATGTTGCTTGTTCAAATCTTGTAGTGATATCTTGAATGTTTCTTTCCTTTTATATGTAAACTTATAGTGGATAGTATAACACAGAATATTGTCTGTATTCTGAATAACGACTGAACAGTGTAACCCTTGTTTGTTGTGTTTCACCTGATTGTGAGTGCAGACATTGATTCAGACCAGGTATGAACGTGCTTCTAGGTTTGTTTTCAGTAAATATTCGCCCCTTCCTGTATCTGTGTGAAATGTGTGATGAGTTGAATGTTTGCTGTCGTCTCTGGAAACATTTTCTCCACAATGTCTGTGATTTGTGATTTAAGGTGACCTGTGGAAATCTGAGACGCTGGGAGATAATAGAGGAAACGCAGATGATCCAGTGGAGGTCGAGTCAAAGGTTGTTTGGGGTTTTTTATGTTTAGTTTTTTCACTCAAAGTCAAAGTGGAGCAGCTGAAGAAAGTTTGGAGTGGAAAGTTAACTGAGTGAGACAGGAGTTCCTGATAAATATACCCGACTCCACGCTACCTCTGCCTCCTCTTTTCTTCTCCTCATGCCCTTCTTCCCTCTCTTTCAGATTAACCGTGTGGCTTTAATACAATGTGTGTCATGCAGGTTGCCCAGGCGACTCTTTGATCCTGTTTTCCAGTCTCTGCCTCTGGGGCAGACGTGCTTCTCTTCAGTCTGCTGCACACCAGCTCTGGAAGCTGCTGCAGCCCTGAGACAAACCATGGACTGCTGCGCTTGTCTCACTCCCCTTTTCTTTTCTTTTTTTTCTTCCTGTCGCTCTCACTTTCTCTCTGTTTTCTATCTTTCTTTCCTTACTGTTTCTCTCTCTCTCTCTCTGGTTCTCTCCATTTCTCTGTCTCTCTCTTGCTCGCTCTGCTTCCCTTTGGTCACGCCAAAGCAGCCCTCCCTCAGCATGGGCATCCAGAGTGCCCAGGGGAAGGGAAGAGGCCAGAACCTCAGTGAAGCAGCCCTCCCAGGAGAAAAGAGGGAGAGACGGGGGTCCTCTCTCTCTGTCCTCCTCACTCTATCTTTCTGTCTGTACCGTTTATTTTATTCCTGTGAGGGAGATGCAGTCCTTCCTTTCCTCCCACCACACTCAACCTTTACCTGCTCTACCTGTATAATTGCTGGTGTCTGGCAGCAGAGTGTTTTTTCCTCTCGTTCTCGTTGGCGGGTGTTTCACAGACAAGAAGCTGCAAAGTTATCTTGTTGATATTGTGTCGTAATTCAGTCCAGACTTCTCTAATCAGTCTGCTCACGGTTGCTTTACCGAGAAACAGTAGAGCAGACGTGATGTTTACTGTGATGGATACGGTGTCTCTAGAAACCTCAAGTCTGAGCAGGTTGATTTTCATAATTGACTGAAGTGAACGGTAATTAATGGCTGCCTGGAAGGCAGGAAAGACAGTTCTGATCTCAAATCTGAAAAACTATGACAAGCCTAATTGTTGGCAGTGAAATAAAGTGAAGGTGGGATTTGTAACAAAAGGATGAAACATGGAAAAAATGCAATGTAGAGAAGAACTGAGGAAGACGCTGAACCCGGAGCCCTCAGCAGAGAGCAGACCTGCCAACAATAACCTGACGGGGGAAGATACCATCTCCATCATGCTGCTGTTTGACTTTTTTTTTTTTTTTTGCATTAAAGTCATGATCAGTCTTTGCATTTACGGCTCGGTTGCACTTCACAGTTTATGAACACAGGAAATCTGCCGACAGTTGTGGATTGAATTCCAACTTTAATTTCAGACTTTCGAGGCTGTAAATCAACACGCATGCTTTTACATCAGGATTTTAAAAAGAATGAAAATATTATCCTGACACTTGACTCCTTAACTCCTGAGATACAGTTAACTAGTAGCTGTTTGATTTAATATACAATCTGTTTGCCAAGAACAATGCTCATAAACGAGCAGTCGCAAGTTAAACAAAGAACAGGGAGAAACAATTCTTGGAATTTTATTGACAGACTTAAAAATTGCATTGGCCCTCTCTGTTGAGAATCATTAATGAAAAGGCAATTCATATGATACATCATATATTATTATTATATTTTTGCATGTTGGATATGATTAAAAGGAAAACGTGTGTCACTCACAGCATAATGAACCACCGGAAGTAAAAACAGAACAAAATGAGCTTTGTGAAATGCAAATGCGCGACCTGACAGGGAACCTAACTTCTGTTTACAAGACAAACAAAAAGCCGGCATGTTTTCTTAAACTCTGCAAAGAATGCCCATTTCTCTCTGTCCAGTGTGTGTGGCAGCATTTCTGCTGATAAGACCCTGCTAGGAGGTGGAACAGATGTTGCCCAGATATCCATCTGGGCCTCGTACCCCTGCTCTGCCTCCCACAGCCGGTGCTCCACGCGGGACACCCCACATTCCCCTCACAGCGAGGGGCTGCTCTCCTCCTCAGGATCCTCAGACAGTGACACAGCACAGAAACCTGCCGTGATGCTGCTTTCACTCCGGTTACGTGTGTGTGACAGATAAGACTCAGGTATTAGACTGGACCTGTGGGTTCATTGGAGGTGTTTCCTCTCTGTTTTAACAATCTCCTGCCTTCACGACTCCCACACGCCTTTAAAAAACAAATGTGACGTAGGTTAGAGAGGAAATCTTCCCTGGACCAAATAATCAGCTCCAGATAAGTGAGGCGATTATTTGAAGGCGTCACAGAGCGTGCAGCGACTCCACTGTCTAACTGCTGCCACTCCATATTTAGTTTTATTTAAACTAACCAGCAAACCGAAGGCATGAGAGAGCCGGTGTAACAAGGTCCAGTAACAATCCAGTAAAATATCTGTGACTTTTATTAAAGCCCTCCCTGACGGGGCCTCATTTCTTCTCACCACAACAAATAAAATCGTCTCTCCTTTATCCCCCTCACCGTCGACAGTCTGGTCTCTTACCAGAAACTTACAGGTGTGTTTTTGTGTGTGTGTGTTTTCAGATTCCTCAGAGCTGACGTCCCTCCCGGCAGAGGAATCCCTCCGGTCTCACACGTGAACCTGCAGGTTTGTGGTCAAGCTGTAAAACTAATGAACGACTCAAACCTGATTGAATCTTAAAGAGTTCCAGCGAGTGAGAGCAGCATGCAGCTCTCATTATCACCACTGACTAATGCTCGACTTTCTGTTTGTTTCTTAGTTGTTTTTACTCTTTAAAGTTTAACTCTAGAGTTTAATTCTTGATAATAATCCAGTTCACCTGAGGTTTCTTTGTCTGTCCCTGCTGTGTCATTATGTCTGATTTAAAGACCATGACACACCAGCACATTTGAGTTTATTAAATTAGTCTGGATGTCTAAAAGCTAATTGAGAATATTGGACACTGACCTGTTTGTCAGTTCTTTCCAATCAGTCCTATTTGAACCAAGACGACCTGGTTCACTCTGTGAGGAAGAGTTTCATTTCATTACAAACAAATACAAGTTTTCAGCTACTTTACTTGAGTAAAGTTAGAATGACTACTTAATATACTGCTGTGTAGTTCTGTCTTTAACGATACAATCTCATTTTATGAGGTCAAATCCTTGACATATGTTTTGTATGTAAGTAAGTATCTTCACAGGAACTTGCAAGTTAATGAACTGTAGTCGTTTAAATTCATAAAAAAAAGGGACAAACTTTAAAAACTTTCCAGCTTGTGAGTTTTTTAACTGTGGAAAGTTTTGTCTTTGTGAGTTTGAAACAAGACACATTTCATATGATCCTTGTTTGGATCTTGCATTTGTCCAGATATGAAATCGCTCAAACCTTTGTCCTCAATAAATTGAGGAAACCATGCCGTGCAATTCTACTCGGGCCCTTTGTGGCCACCTAAACGCCTCTTGTTTTTTCTGCCTGGTCCTGTTGGGTGACTTCCGTGGGATTCCAGCAGGCTTGTCACTCAGATTGTTTGTCCTGGGGACGAGATCTGTGTGAGTCCTGTTTCTCTCCCTCTTCCCTCGGTCCGAGTGCTGATGGAGACCCGCATCCCAGGTGGCCCACACATCAAAACAAGAGGGATCGCAGCTCTTGGTTTTCAGACAAACATCACTCACTTTCTTTGTTGTCTGAGGGACAGGGGGCACGGCGGTTTATCTCCAGAGGATCTCCCCCGCTATCGCCTTCCACAGGCCCACCGCCCCATCCCACAGGAGCCGCTAAAAGCAAATGTCAGTCACGGAGAAGGCGTTGCATTCCTTCAAAAGGTCAATTAGTGGTGGCCACTGAAGGATCTGTTGCATGTTTGAGTCAAAATATGGGGGACTATTTAAAAATCCTTCTTTTCAACGTCGCCCAATCCAGTGGCAGATTTATTCCCGCGGCCCAAAACAAAAGCACAGCGGGCGATTCTTCTTCTTCTTCTTCTTCTTCTTCTTCTTCTTCTTCTTCTCCTCTATTAGAATTCTGTGTGATGACACCTCTGTCACGTTGCAGTGGATGTTTTGAAGACGAGCGGCCGGCCCTCTGTACCCACCTACCACACACAGCCCGGTTCAGTCGACTGTGAGTTATGTGACCCTGAGTCGGATTCACGATGCGCCGCATATGAAACCTATCTCTCTCTCTCTCCGCCGGCGGCAGCTCCTCACTCATCTGTGCAGGTGATTCCCGGCCCGGCTCGTCCCCTCCAGGCCTATAAGCCGAAACCGTGTCTATGGGACTTTTATGAGAGTGGTCTTAACATGCCCGTCTCGAGCGGTCTAGACTCGGCGCTCCGTTTACTAGAGTCCTCGTCCCACTGATGGCTATCAGACTTTTCACTTTTTACTGGTGACTCTCTCTTGTCATAAGTCTTTGAAGACGGACAGACACGACTCTTTGACTGTCCTGTCTGTGGACTTTGGAGAATTTACTGTCACGTCTCGGGGAAAACAACGACTGACCATGACGAGCGCTCTGACGTGCACTGCCTCTCTCCTCCGGAGGGTCAACACGATGCACATGTGCAGGGTCTAGCTGTGGTT